TTGTAGTAAGACCTTCAACATCCACCTTTGCTTACTGTGTCTTATAGAGGAGTTTTAAATTTTCATATACTCACATCTGTGAATCTCCTTCTTTATGGCTTCAAGATTTCTTGGAAACTTTCCCTGTAAACTGTTTCTTTTCCTGGAGCTGTGTTTTTCAGAATAATAACATTTTAGACTACAACACCCCGGGTTAGCAGAATGGTCTCTGTTTTTGCAGACATTCTTGGTAATTTCACCAATAATTATGGGGAAATTTTGAAACCATGTGGATCAGTCCTAGGCAAATGAGAGGCAGCAGGGAACTAACTAGGAGCGGGCAGCCTGAAGTCATATATATGGACCTTGGACCATATCCAGGCTCCTGTACTTACCACTTGATTTGGGGACATCACTTTGCTGCTCTGAGCCTTAGTTTATTTCTCTGTAAAATGGGGCAAATCACAATTTCAAAGGGTTGCTGTGAGGTTTAACATCTCCCATGTCTCAGCCTACTCAATACATGTTTGTTTCTGCCCCTCCTGATAAAAGGTCTTTTTCTCCCCACACACATGTAAATGTAACTGGTCACTTAAGACTGTTGACTTTCATCTCTTCTGAGGATTTTGTAGCTGAATCGTGGAGTCACAGCTTGCCCAAGAGTCTGAGGCAATTTCCTCATGATGCATCTCTGTGGGCCTAAGGGAAACTAAACACCTACGCCATTGCTCAATGCTGGAAAATTCTCCAGGGTGGCCGACCCCTCTTGGCGGAGAGAAGCCAGGGCTCTGGGGGACTACTGCAGTCCATGTGGGTGGAGAGCTTTTGTCGTTCCTGGACTCACTGATCCTCCTGCTTGTGCGGGCACAATTCCCTCTCCTTTGAAATCTCTTCCCCTCCCCTTGCCTGGCATCCTTCACCTCTTATAGCAACACGACACTCGAAGTTGGGAGCCCAGACACTTGAGCCAGACTGCCTGGGTTCAAAATCCAGCTCTGCCACTCTTACTTGTGAAGCCTGGAACAAATGTCTTCATCTCTCTCTACCTCAATTTCCCTATCTGTAAAATGGAAATACTGGTATGACCTACCTCATAGGACTGTTATGAGAGTTGATACTTATAAAGCCCTTGGCATATAGTACAGTGATCAAGGAGCTACAAAGAAATCATATACAGTATCTGAATCCTGGCTCCTCCTTTCACAGCCAGTTGACTCTGGATAATGTACTTATTCTGACCTCAGCTCTCTCATTTGCAAAATGGGTATGAAAATAGCTATTTCATAGGATTGCTGGGAAAGTCAAATGGGATAATGTATGTCATGAGTATAGGGCTTCAATTATTGGTGGCTACTGTGGTGATGGTTATTGAAAAAGACGGGAATGAATATGCAGGGAATACCTAAAACTCAAAAGCAGAGAGGCTGGTGATTAAAAGAGAAGGTTCTGGAGTCAGACACACTGGGTTGGAATTCAGCCTCCACTACCCTTGGCCCTGTGACCTTGGACCTAAACCTTTTTGGCATTCAGTTTCCTGATCTGTTAAATAGGATTGATAGTGGGGCCTACCTCTAGGCTTGTAGGCTTGTTATGAAGAGGAAATGATGATAAACCAGGAACATAGGAAATGCTTAATAAAATTAACTGTTATCGTTCCTCATATCTCCTGCCCATCAATGGGAAGATTCTCGTCTGCAGTCAGGAGTCCCTGGGTAGGAGAAATGGCAGCACAGCCAGAGCCCCTGCCCAATCCATTCTGCTGGGTTTGGAGCACAAGGTAGGAAAGAGGATCAAAACTCAAGAAGGGAAACTGAGGCAGAAGCCTGGTTTTTACGGATCAACCAAAATGATTGAGGTAGAGAGAAAAAAAAACACAATTAAGGATGTCCCTCAAGATTTATCTGCAATGATATATTTCCTTTTAATTCTTAAAGCAGTCCTATTGGGTAGGTTCTGTTATTTCCAGTTTTCACCTGGTGAAACTGAGGGTGAGAAAATGCAAGTGACTTGCGTAAGATCACACAACTAACAAGTGGAGGAGCGGGGATTTGTGCCCAGAACCATCTGGCTCCAAATCCCTAACGCTACGCTGTCAGTATCTGTCCCGCCTCTGTTGGGAGCAGCTCAGAGGCCAAGCAGGACGGGGCTGGGGGGCCCCTGTTTCTCTGGGAGAGCAGAGGAGGTGGAGACAGGGGCAGTGGGCCTGGAGCTGACAGCCTGCATGTAAAAGTTTGGAAAGTTTGCCCTGAAAGAAAAGAGAGTGTTTTCAGCTGAGGCCATTTTCAGCTGTACCCTGTGTACTAGGCCAAGGGTAAACAAAAACACAGCCATAAACAGTACTCCCCAGAATTCTCGTCACAACAGCCCACTGTGCTCTTTCTGTTTGGAGATGACTGTCGAAACACTTCGCGTGAAAATGTCTGAGTCTGTTACTGTTCACCAAGTCAGTCACAGCCCATTCGAACAAGGTGCCTTGGGTGTGAGTAGAGATGCAAGAGTCATCAGGTGACCAGCCATTATGAAGTCTCAACAAATGGCCTGCCCGGGAAACCAGCATCCCTGGACTAGGGCCAGGCCTATCCTAACGCCACTGCTTGGAAGGGGCCCCTCCTAGTTCAGAGGGCCTGTCCCAGCTCGTTACAGAATATGTTTTTATAGCTATCCTTTCTCTAATTAAACATAAAGTATCAAAGCTGGAATCAACTGAACAAGTCATCTAGTCTAGTGCATTTAAAAGTTGGAGACATTTGGTTCCCAGTGGGAGGTGACATTCCCAAGGTTGTAGAGAGAAAACCTGAGACTGGAATCCAGGCCTCCTGATTCTTAGTCTAAAACACGTCTAACGCTGCCCTCCTGAACCTTTCCAACACAGTTGCAAAATTCCTGCCAGCCTCTCCAAAGGGCAGGGCTGGAAGGTGGGAGACGTGGGAGGGAGGTTGTGTTTGTCCTTGATACTTTCTACCTTGCCCTCTACATCTGTTCCCCCATTTCAGTGTTTCCTCTCACCTGCCAAAACTAACTAGTCCTGTGAGCCCAAATCTAGATCCTTGAGAAGCAGCTTCTCGTGTTTGCAGAGTCATTCCTGCTCCCCTGTCCAGGGTTTTTTCCTGCTGTGGCAGTGCTGCCTCTTGAACAATGGACAGGCCCACAGACCAGGAGGATGCCTGGCTCAGCCCCTCTTGGGTGGGTTTCCCAGGTGAGATGTGGCCTCCCCAAGTATCATTCCACATCTCCAGAGGTAGGCCAGGAAGAGGAAAGGGATGAATGTTAATTGATCACCTGGGAACATGCTGGATTATAACCACATTTAATCTGTAACTGAGGCTATGTGAGGTAGGTAGATGTTATCATCTCCGCTTGCAGACAGGAGCAAGAAGTTAGGAAGGCAAATCACTTGTTCAAAGCCACACAGCCAGAAAGTTGGGACTTGAACGTAGACTTGTGTGAAAATCCAAAGTATAATAAGCTCTTTCAAGTTCACCAAGCTACAGAAAGTGAGATTAAAGTGTGTGTGGAGGGCTGCCCTGGTGGCGCAGTGGTTGAGAGTCCGCCTGCCGATGCAGGGGATACGGGTTCGTGCCCCGGCCCAGGAAGATTCCACATGCCGCGGAGCGGCTGGGCCCGTGAGCCATGGCCGCTGAGCCTGCGCGTCTGGAGCCTGTGCTCCGCAACGGGAGAGGCCACAGCAGTGAGAGGCCCGCGTACCGCAAAAAAAAAAAAAGAAAGTGTGTGTGTACACACGCACATGCACACAAGCGTGCACACACACAGTGGAAAAGTGCTTTCTAAACTGTGAAGAGCCACCCACCCGTGCAGGATGATGAGGATGACAGTTAGCACCCAGTCCAGGCCAAGCATGAAATGGCTCCCAACAGGCGGGTGCTTAGCCTCTGGGGAAACTCGCCTTCCACGAGGAAGTCTGGGGAGCACAGCCATTACTCACAGCATCTTCTTACAAGGAGGGGAGTGGAGGGGCTCTTTAGGGGCAAGGATCTCTCAGCTAGTCCAGTAGTTCTCAGACGTCATCAGAGGACTACCACAGGCAGAACCAACTGTGTAATTTATGGGATCTGGTACCAAATGAAAATGTGGGCCCCTGGCCGGGGGCAGGGAAGTCACTCATGGCTGACAGGTGACCCCCAAGGGTTTCCAGCTTCCCAGTTGCCTACCCAACCCTCTGTGGCAGTGGGGAGTGGTGGGGAGAGACACTGCTTGCCTGGCCCTGAGACACTGCAGGCTCACAACCTGGCCTGGCTCTCCCTGCAGCTGTGCTTGTCCCTACACTCCTGCCACCCCATGCCACCCTGTCATCACCCCAGGGGTGCGTGGTCAGCAGTGGAGAAATGGGGTAAGGTGCCAGGCAGGGAGCAGGCTGGTCCTGGACAGGGAAAGGCCCCACACCCAGCACATGCTCTGCTGTCCCATCAGCCTTCGTCCGCAAAGTACACATTCAAAGATAAAATTAAGAATTTCAAAACAGGGACTGCAGATCACTAAACCCCAAGCTTGAGCCTTCCTGGCGTGGGACCCTGGATGACTGCACATGTGACATACCCGTGAAGTTTGCCCTTACTGCAGGTCCTTAGCAAAGTTTCACTAGTACAGAGGAAATGAAGAAATAAGGGTAGTATGTCGAGTTTTTAACAAAGCTGTATGTAAACAATTTAAATGATTTCCCTGTATTCTGAGATCACGATAACTTTTTTTTTTGTTTTTTTGCTTTGATGTTAAAAGCTTTTTTGTTATGACATCATGGTCAGAGTAAAAGTTGAGTAGCTTTTTTTGGGGGTTTTTTTTTTTTTTTCTTCAAAGGTTCTCGTTTGGCAAAATAAGACGCTGACAATTCTTTGTAGGTCTCCAAAAGGTTTGGAGATTGTATTGGTCCAGAGATTGGAAACTCCTGAGCTGGGGCTTTCAAGGAGAAAGCCCTTCCTGATTGTTGGGGAATGGAGCCTTTTCCCAGCTGCTGGCATCAGAAAGGCATACAGTTAGTAATTGTGGTATGTTTCCGTATTTTCTAGGTACATCTTTGCTTTTGTGAAGTCTAAACTCTGGTGGGGTCTGTGAGAAGAGGCAACACAGAATAAGGGCATCAAAATCAAAATTCAAAGTCTGAAACTCCCAGTTCCCTATGACCCTTGAGAGATCATTTCTGCAAATTTCCCAACCATCAGGAGCTCCACAGAAGTAAATTGGAGAGGTGATAACACACCCAAGGACAGACCCAGCCTATGCCTTATGTCCTGGTCTAATTATTAATAATCGATCATTAAACTGTCCAGGACTCAAAGGAGAATTTATTGGGATAATAAACTATGGCTACCCTTATTAAAGGCTCCTTCACCTCTCCTGAGGCAACAAGCCCCACAGAGGCTGCTGTTTCCCTGGGCAGGAACCCATGGTGGCCAGTTGAAGGGCTGCATTTGTCCTGCCAGAGGCCTGGGCTGGTTGACAGCCTGGAACCTGGAAGATGCCCTTGTGGTGGTAAATCTGTGTGACTCCCAGCCCAGCGGCTCCCACCATTGTATTTTTTTGTATCAAGTCGAAGGCCAACCCACTTTCAATCCTTTGATGAGGGAAAATATGTCAACACAATGGTCCACTGAACTCTGGGCATAGACAACATGCAATGCTTTTTGGGGTCTGTAGCCTAAATGGTTTTACTCCAGAAGATGTGGAATTAAAGATAAAGCAGACAGCTAATTGCTGTTAAACCCACATGCTCCAAACCAACCATTATGGTCTCTTCTCAGTTACAGAACCAGAGAGGCTTTCCCTAGAATAGGCGTTGGTAGACTGGGCTTTGGGGTGAGAAGCAAGAAGGAGGAAGAAGGGGAAGAGGAGGGCAAGAGAGAAATAACACGTCACAGAGGGGTACAGTTCTGAAATGCACAAAGTCTGTGCCATTTAATTGGGATTACTTTTGCTTTTTATCCCACGTGGATTTCTTCTTATCCATACGGAAAGAAATCTTTGACAATACCTGCTTCAGAGTCTCAGGTTTAAGAAGCCAATCACTGACCCGAGGAAAAAGAGACATAAATCACTTTCAAGTTCTTCAGACAAAGAACAGCTCGAGGCAAGCTGGAGCGTTTGCAGGGCATTTTTGTGACATTTCTGGATGCCCTTTGTTTCCCCCTTTCAAGAAAAGCCCTTTCTTTGCTTGCCTTCTCACATAACAGCTTGGGATTCTTGTCCCCCCCAAAAATGCATTTGAACTTGTGGGTTTGTTAAGAGTCAGGGCATGAAGCATTTTTCCATGGTAGAAAATTCTGGCATTCCAAAGCAGAACTAATGTGAGATTTGGGAAGGCTGCCCTATTTGTGCACTTAATTAGGGCTCCCCAAAGGCAGCTGATCCATTGGTGTCATAGGAAACCGACGCCAAGGCCAGCGAAGGCTGCAAATGTGTGAGTACCCAAGAGGGGGGCGAATGTAGATTCCACACCTGTTCCCCACTGCCTTGGATCAGGACTCAAGGGATATAAAGACAAGGGCTTGCCTGAAATGCTCATTTGGATCCCAGGCCTGATTTCATCGTTCTGTGTGTCAGCAGTGTTTGAGTCAAGTCCCAAAACACTTGGAGATAAAGGATCAGAGTTATAGGTTCTATTTGGATCTATGAAATAAGATCTTGGTTCTGAAGATCTGTGAAGTTGACAAAATTACAGTGGAAAAACTATAGACTTTAAAGACCAACCAGCCTGTGCTTTGAGTCTTACTCTGCCACTAGTAGATGGTGTCAGTTTTTGAAGAAGTTATCCGGTTATTTCCGAGATTTAGTTTTCTTCCCTATAAGAGGCCATACTAACACCTCTTCCATGGGTTCATTATCGTAACAACAGCTGACATTTGTTGAGCAATTACGGTGTGTAAGGCACTGTTCTAAGAGCATGAACTGTATTAACTCTTCCATCCTCTGTAGACCGTGTAAGGTAAAGTCTGTATTAGAGGTTGGCAAACTGCTCCCCATGGGCCAAGTTTTGCCCACTGCCCATTTGTGCAAATAATATTTTACTGGAACACAATTATGCCCATCTGTTCATGTCTACTCTGTGGCTACTTTCATGCTATAGCTCCAAGGTTGAGTAGTCGAAACAGAAACTGTATGTCCAACCAGATCTAAAATATCTACTATCTGGCTTTGTACAGAAACAAATTTGCCAACCCCTGCTTTAAATTATCCCAATTGAAAGATGAAGAAAATAAACCATAGGCATTTTTGGGGGGCTGTGCCCCATGGCATGTGGAATCTTAGCTCCCCGACCAGGAATCAAACCCACACCCCCTGCATTGGAAGTGCAGCGTCTTAACCACTGGACCACCAGTGAAGTCCAACCATAGACATTTTAAATAGCTTAACTGAGGTCGTACAGCTGGTGACAGATAGACCTAGGATTAGAACCTAGTATCCTGACTCCAGAACTTGTGACCTTCACGAGTATCCTACGTGTATAATAATATACATGAATTACCCAGTGCAGTGCCTGACGCATAGGAGATGCCTGACACATCTGTTTGCTTAAGCGATCCTTTGCATTCCCCCACGGTTCTCCTTTTCCTTCTGCCTCCTTTTGCAGCTTCATATCAATTTCTATTGCCTTTTCCTTCTCTTCTGCCAGATTATGTTTTCAATTCTGCAGACTTCTGGGCAATTTTATACCCATTATCTCAATGCATCAAACAACCCTGTGAGGTCGGTATCATTATCTTCATTTAAAAGATGTAGAAACCACTCCCGACCTCTGAACTCCCAGGAGTTTTTACACTTCATTTGTTAACCCTCAGAGGAAACGTTGCTAGGAGCTTTGGGAACATTTATTTAATGCTGACAACTAACATTAGGGAAAAAATATCGACAGTTACTCGAGAAAGGATTACAATCTAATTGGGGTGAGAAAATAGTGTAAAATATTGGAACAACAGCAGGCATTTTTAAAGTTAAGTTATTTAGTACAGATCGTGAGTGGGTGTGAATTCAGGGAGCTGGGACAAGAGGATGGACCGGGGGTGTGGGGTGCAGGCAGGGACGGTTTCCAGGAGGCGGTCCAATGTGAGCTGGGCCTCTAACGTGGGGCAGGATCTTAAAAAGAGAATCTCAGATTTGAGTATCATGGGAGTGAGGAAAGGAACCACAGAGAGAAGACATAGAAATGGAAATGTCTCAAAGGGACAGGCCCAGCAAATCTCAGAGAACTCTGGCAAATCAGAATGAGTAAATAGGGAACAGGTTGTGTTTGACTTTGAAGGCCAGAGAGAGAATAATAATAGTGCTAATTATGATAACACTTAGGTGCAGGATTGCTGACCCAGGCACTCTAGATTCATACTCTCCTTTAACCCCACCAACCCTTCAGTGATACAGGTGTTGTCCTGTTTCACAGATGAGAACATTTGAGGCTTAGATTGTAGCAATCAAATGTTAGTGGGAAAATCAGAACTATTCCACAGGCCTAGTTCAAGAGCACAGGGCTTTTTGTTGTTACTTTTCTTCTGTGGATGCACGTGCTTGCAGGTGGGGTTTTAGATATGCCCATACAGTATAATCTTAGGCTCTGCTGGTTAAATTGTTCTTGCTTTCTCTGATGCTATAATCTATTATCAATTGCCCGTGGACTCAGATGGAGAACACCAGGAATTAGATGCTCTACACCTGGACCACTATGATACCTCCCATCGCAGGCACTAGGGAGCCATGGAATGCTTTTGAGTGGGAGATGCCATGATGAAAGGAACTACTCTGCCAACGAAGTCAGGCTGGATGAGAGCTGGGAAAGACAGGAAGGAGGAGGTAGTATGAACTCACAAGTGTGATATGCAGTTGTTAGCTCACCTTGGATTGAGCCACAAGAGCTAGGGTTTGGGGTGACTGAAGAGGACATGGCAAGAAGAGAAGGGTAGATTTATGGAGTCAGAGGGCCATGACCCACACTGCTTAGACCTTACTACTAGACAGCCATGCTTGATGAACAGAGGACTTGGAGTCTGAAGATTTAGGTTCACATCTTGGCTCTACTGCTAAAGTTGCACTGTGTGAAGAAAGAGGGAAAAGGGAAGAATTATATGCTGTTTGAGTTAGACAGCATCTCATGTGTCTTCCCATCAACTCTGGGAGGTGGTGATAACAAGAGCAATAGGTAACATGTAAATACTTCTGTGTGCCAGCACTTTCTGTGTTCTCCTTCTAGCCATTTCTCTATATTTTTAATCTTCATAGAAACCCCATGAGATAAGGGGCATTGTTATTCCCTTTGGATAGATGAGGTGACTGAGGCACAGAGAGGTTAAGTAACATGGCTGTGGTCACACAGCTGGTAAATAGAGGAACTAAGCTTTGAACCCAGGCAGTTTGGCCCCCAGAGTCCATGCTCTTAGTCATTTTCACACTGTCTCTAAGGCATGTTTCACCTCGAGGAGTGTTCTGGGGGTAAGGTTATTCTATGCCACCCTGTAACCTGCACACTGACAGTCCTGCCTCTGCACCACAGGGTCAGGGACCTCCCACTGAGAAGGCTTCCTGCCACAGCCTGGTACTTCTCACAGCTGTCTGGAACCTTTCACTCCATCCTCCACCCAGACCCTCACACCCTGACCTCCTGGCTCCTGGCCACACCCATTGCCCTTGATTCTAGCTTCCCACCCCTGTAGGACTTGTGCCCCTGTACCACACCTCCAGCTCCCCTTCTCTGAACAATTTGTTTTTGTCCTTTAGACACTTTTACCTCTTTGTTCAAGGTAAGACTCTAGCACCCAGGTTCCTCCCCCACCCCATGCCAGCCCACACAAGTGGCATCCCCATCAGATTTGTACCAGCTTCTGGGAACAGGACCGGACAACTTGTTCAGCCACTTTCTCAAGGGCTGGTCCCTGGCAGCTATACCGGTCCCACCTGTTTCCGGCCTGGTAGCTGCCAATCCAACTAGATGGGACTATTCTGGGAGCAGCAAGAAGACTTAGTCACCCTAGTTGAGTCTTCCTTAACAAAAGAAGTCGAAAGGCCTTTTGTTTTTGTTGTTGTTGTTTGTTTTCTTAATGTGCATTAAAATTCTGCCCAGGATGCTATAGCAGTTAAGACATGGCCCCTGAAATCAGAAGGATACGGGTTCAAAATTCAGTTCTGCTGCTTGCTAGCTGTGTCATCCTAGGAAAATTGTTCCATCTTAGCTCTTCATTTGTAAAGTGGAGCTAAAAGAAGGCCTATCTTATGGGGTAGTCACAAGAATTCGGTGAAAGGATGTATGTGAGCATGTATCATACCACCTGACCAGCAGTAAGTGCTCAGTAAGTGGTAGTTACTATCAGCATTATATTAAGTGTCATTATATAAAGTATCATTCAAGACTCCCTGGAGATAGTTCATTCAGACAGTTATTTACTCAACGGACATTTATCAGGAGGCTGCTGTTTGCCAAATCTATGCCAGGTACAAATATAGGATGTATGTTTATGAAAGGAAGGAATGCATGTTAATCACTTATTATAGGCCAGACACTGTTCTAGGCATTTTAGGGACATATTTCATTTCACCTTTTTTTTTCAAGTACATATTCATTATTTTAGTTTTTTAGTTTTTTAACCTTAGAAAGTATATATATATATATATATTTTTTTTTTTTTTACAGTAAGTCCTTGTTGGTTACCTGTTTCAAATATAGCAGTGTGTACATGTCAATCCCAAATTCCCAATCTAACTGACGCTACACTCCCCCATAACCATAAATTCATTCTCTAAGTCTGTGAATCTGTTTCTGTTTTGTAAATAAGTTCCAAAACAAAAAGATACAAATGAACTTATTTATATTTCATCTTGATAAGGGCTTTGCAGGCAGACATCATAATTGTCATTTTACAGATGAAGAAACTGAGGTTCATAAAGGTTAACTCCCCCAAAGACGTGGCCAGTGATTGAGTGTAGCCATAAATCAACCAAGATATTCTGAGATCAATTCCCCACTATTGAGAGATCCACATTTTACTCTCATACTCATGCAATCGAATGCCTTTATCTATGCACCCACCTTTCTGGTTAAAAGGAAGTACAAAGGAATGTGTTTTTTATTTCATCCTTATTGGTACAAACCTCTGAAAGAGGTGAGAGCTCTGCGCCTATCTTAGCATTCCAGCGATGAGCCTGGTGGGGACTGCCCTCCAATGATTGGGGATTTCGTCATCCTTCAGGATAACTTCTCTCCTTACATGGGACTAGAACTAGAGAGGGAGAAGGCAGCAGGTAAGGAGCTTATACTGGACTCACCCAAGGCATACTTTGCAAGTTATTTTGTTTTTTTTTAAATCAGTCCCAGTCATAAGCTTGCTTTTTGGATCCATGCCTTATGCCTCTAGGCATTGAAAGCCAAGTATGTCAAGGGAAAAAAGGTCCTTCAGTTAGTTGAAATTTTATTCTGTTTCTACTTTGGTGGTTTGAAACTAATTACAGACTCTGGGTTGTGCCTATATGTCCAAAATGAAATGAGACTTTGAGCCAATTGCTCTAATAACGAAGAGAGGAAAATCCACTTTTCTCTCCATTATCTAAAGATTTCAGGCATATGTGAGTTGTTGTTTTTTTTTTAATCGAATTATGTGAAAAGTTGGCCTCAAGCCTTCATTTCACTTTGCCTTTCTAGAAACTAGTCTGAAATTTTGTTTTGGAAAGGAGATGACATGCCTTAGACTGCTTCGGTGGGACTAGAGGGTCTTGTTGGAGCAATCGCAGGCTAAGAGATTTTGGTATTGTTATGATAAAATGTTTGTGTATGCTTGGGGGAGGGAGGTGTATTGCAAAGGATGACTCTTCATTTAAATTTTTTTTGAAAGGCTGGAGTACCTAAAATAAATTTCAAGATGAACAGTTTCCATTCATCTCACTTATTGATTCATTTATTTGGTCCTCACTGTTGCCTAGAAGGCCCGCCCGGCCTGGCTCTTCGCCCCGTGGCCAGGCCGCTCCATCTATCCTGGCCCTTTCACTCTCTGTCCACATACTAAACACACTCCCACCTCTGGGCTTTTAGACGTACAGTTCCCTCTCCATGGAATCCTCTTCCTTAGGTATTTGCATGATTCATCCTCTCATCCCCTTCAGATCTTTGCTCAACTATCATTTTATCAGAGAGATGCCATTCCTGCCACCCTATACAAACTGCCTTGTCTACTCCTGTCATTCTTTATCCCTTATCCTACTTGATTTTGTTTCCTTAGTACTTATCGCCATCTGACATAATGTATCTGTATATGTATATACATTAAGGTTCAGTCTTTGTGCTGTAACATTCAGGGGTTTTGACAAATGCATAGTGTTGTATATACACAACTACAGTATCATACGGAATAATTTCAGCACCCCCCAAAAAAATCCCCTGTGCTTCACGTATTTAATCATCCCTCCCTTCTCCCTGAGCCCTTGGCAACTACTGATCTTTTCATTACCCTAGTAGTTTTCCCTTTTCCAGAATGTCACGTAATTGGGATCATGAATATGTAACCTTTTCAGACTGGTTTCTCTCACTTAGTAATATGCATTTAAGATTCATCCACGTCTTATTGTGGCTTGGTAGTTCATTTCTTTTTATTGTGTAATAATATTCAATTGTATAGTTGTACCAGTTTGTTTATCCATTCACCCACTGGAGGACATCTGGTTGCCACTGGTTTTTGGTGACTATGAATAAACATTTGCATACAGGTTTTTGTGTGGACTTAAGTTTTCAAACCAGTTGGGTAAATACCTAGGAACACAATTGCTGGGTTGTATGTTAAGACCATGTTTAGATGTGTTATAAACTACCAAACTGTCTTCCAAAGTAGCTGTATTATTTTGCATTTCCACCAGCGAAGAATGAGGGTTCCTGTTACTCCACATCTACGTCAGTGTTGACATTGTCAGTTTTGCAGATTTTGTCTATTCTAATAGTTATGTAGTGGTATATCATTATTGTTTTAATTTGTAATCCCCTGACGGCAAATGATGTTGAGTATCTTTTCATATGATTATTTGCCACCAGTCTATCTTCTTTGGTGAAGTTCATATCTTTTGCTCATATTTTCACTGGGTTGCTTGTTTTATTATTGTTGAATTTTAAGTATTCTTTGTATATTTTGGATATAAGTTCTCAGATATATGTTTTACAAATATTTTCTCCAAGTCTGTGGCTTGTCTCTTCATTCTCTTAAAATTGTCTATCACAGAGCAGTTTTTAAATTTTAACGGTCCAGCTTATCATTTTTTTCTTTCATGGATTGTTCTTTTGATGTTGTATCTAAAAACTCGTCATTAAACCTAAGGTCACCTTGATTTTCTCCTGTGTTATCTTCTAGAACTTTTACAGTTTTACGTTTTGCATTTAGGTTTATGATCCATTTTGAGTTAAGTTTTGTGAAAGGTGTAATGTCAGTATCTAGATTTTTTTTTTTTGCACGTGTGTGTCCAGTTTTTTCAACACCATTTGTTGAAAACACTACCCTTTATCCTGTTAATCGACTTTGCTCCTTTGTCAAAGATCAATTTGAATGTGTTTGTGTGGGTCTACTTATGGGCTTACTCTTCTGTTCCATTGATCTATTTGTTTGTTCTTTCACCAATACCACATTATTGTGATTATTATAGCTTTATAGTAAGTCATGAAGTCAGGTTATGCCCATCCTCTAACTTTGTCCTCCTTTAGTATTATAGTGACTAATAAGTATTTTGCCTTTCCATATAAGTCTTAGAATCATTTTGTTTTGTTTACGGATAGCTTGCTGAGTGTTCAGTTGGGACTGTGTTGAATCTATTGATCAGGTTGGGGAAATTTGTCATCTTAACAATATTGAATCTTCCAATCCATGAATATAGAATATCTCTCCATTTACTTAAATATTCTTTTTCTTTCATTAGAGTTATGTACTTTTCCATGTGTAGATTCTATACATTTTGTGTTAAACTTATACCCAAGGACTTTGGTTTTTTACAGTATGCTATTGTAAATGATTTTAACTTCAAACTCCAATTTTTCATTGCTAGTAATTGGTGGGATGTAATTGACTTTATATATTAACCTTGTATCTTGTGACTTTACTATGTTCCCTTACTAGTTTAAAAAGGTGTTTTGTTTATTTTTTTTATTCTTTGAGGTTTCCTACATAGATAGTCATGTCATCTAAGAATAAAGATAGTTTTATTTCTTCCTTCTCAATCTGTATGCTTTTTTATCTGTTTTTCTTGTCTTATTGCACCAGCTAAGAGCAATACAATCTTGAATAAGAGTGGTAAGAAAGGACATCCTTGCCTTGTTCCCAGTCTTTGGGGGGAAAGCATTCAGTTTTTTCTCATTGAGTATGATATTAGCTGTAGAGTTTTTTGTAAATGTTCTTTATCAAATTGAGGTTGTAGAGTTTTTTGTAGATGTTCTTTATCAAATTGAGGATGGTCCCGTATATTCCAAGTTTGCTGAGAGGTTTTAATCATGAGTAGGTATTGGAGTTTATCAAATGCTTTTTCTGCATCTATTAATATGATTATATGAATTTTATTCTTTAACCTGTTGATGTGGTGAATTACACTGATTGATTTTTATAAATGTTGAACCAGCCTTGCATACCGAGGATAAATTCTATTTGGTTGTGGTGTGTAGTTCTTTTTATACATTGTTCAATTTGTTCAATGAAAAATCAGTTTCATTGATTTTTTCTGTATTGTTTTCCTGTGTTCAATTTCACTGATTTCTGCTTTTTATTATTTAGTTTTTTCTTCGTCTTTTTTTTCCTTTTTTCTTTGCTTAATTTAGGCTTAAATTGCTCCCCTGTCTTTGGGCTTCCACAAGAACTCCTCCTTAAATAGAGCCTGCATCTTGTAGCTCTTTCAGTTGTCATCCACTATTACTACACTGGAGCCCTGTTTGTATCATTTTAAGGTGTAGGGAAGGGAAACAGCCTAGAATCTTTTGATTGAATCCTGGGCCTATGTCCTTGGGTTGTGACCTTCACAAATGTTTCTTACCTTTTTTCCTCCCTTGTAGGTGAGAAAGGGAGACTGGAAGGAGCTGGAGTTGGAGGGATGTCCTTCCCCTGGGTGGGGTAAGGCTCTGGTTAAGCCTTTTCCCCTTAAAAGTAGGCCTTTGTTATAAAGATCTCTCTGGCATATTTTCACAGTGTTTCCTCTTTTTCACTCCTGCTGGAGCCAGTAGGGGATCATTCTTGCCTCTTTACAGTGAGAATCTGGTAGGGTTCCTGGAGGTAAAACCCATGAAAGGGTGGGCCTCCCAGTAAGACTGAAGCCCCAGAAGTTTCTCAGTCTCATGCTAGTCCACGCTCAGCCCCCAGCACTTCATCAAAATTATCACTTAAATGTCCCTACCAGTTTGTGCCTCCAGTGGCTTCTGCTCTAGGTAAGAAGATCTCAACTGCAACTCTCTAGAATTATCCTGTTTCTCCAGATCTCAGGGTGGTGGTTTGCTCTGTAACCTCAGTTCTCCAAACAATCCAAGACAGATCAGTGATTTTCAGTTTGTTAGCTCTTTTCTTGTTATAGGAATGGGGGTAATGACTTCTAAC